AAAGGCAAATGGTTATAAATAGAACCCCCACACCAGACCACAAACCCTAGCCGTCTGCCGCTCGCCGGAGAAGACGAACCAGAAGCCGGCCGCCGCCACCCGCCGCCGCACCGGAGGGATTTTCAACCGCCGATCGAGGTAAATTTCATACCCCCGACTCGTTTTTCCACGCTGATTTCCCCAGTGGCCAAATCGGAGCCGAAATCCCGGCCAAACGGTCGAAAAATACGGCCGAAAGCCAGCGGCGCCGCCGCGCCCCTTTTCGATTTTTGCCTCCGATGAGGCCCTTCCCGGCCTCCGTTTAATACAATTTTTATATCACCGTGATCACCATTCTTTTCTCTACAGGTTGATCGGAGCCGAATCACCAAAACACGAACTTCACCGGAGAGCCGCCGCACCCGAGAGTACCGCCGCCGGTAAGCTTCAGTTTTCCGTAAATTTTCGGCCCCCCGAGGGCCGTAGGGTTGTTTTATCGCAAGAACCAATGCGAGTGTGGCCGAATTCGGCCAGAAACGACCGAAAACGGCCAACCTGAGGCAAACCGCCGCCGCAAGCGGCAGCGCCGTCGCTGGAGCACGGCGGAGCCGCCGTGCCAGAGTTGCGATTTGGGCCGAAAGGGGCCCTGGGCCTAATTTGGGATTTTTTTTTGGAACACGTGCAGGTACCAGTAGTGCGTTTCAATTCCCCGAGAAAAATTCAGGGAAAATTAGGGACAGCCTGTAGGCGCACTGTGAAGCCGTGTTCGGACCCCGAAAACGTGTAAGGACCCCTCACCCTATTTCCTATCACGGTTTTAAAGTTCAATAAATAATAAAACGGTATTTCATGAATCAACGAATGTGTGAAATTGCTTAGGGTCGCTAATGGAGCCCGAGTCTAGTGTGTTTGTCGGTTAACTGTTATTTGGTCTGTTTTACAGTTTTAAATGCAGTATGAGGTTTAATGTTTTCATTTTATAGTTTCGTGTGCATATTGTACTGTTTTATTGATTATGGATTGAATGACTGAGATATTGATGCTGTATGTCGTCTGTTTGGCATAAATTACTGTTTTGCTTGTTTGTATGTGGATTGATGATGCTGACTGAGGGAAAAGAGAATGATAGATTATGTAAATGGGTAATTGTATAATGTGGTCAGCCTGACTAGATATCCTGGGAGATGGTGGATGGACCGGGTCCGTAGGGAACCCTACTGGGATTGTGGTCTCCCATACCGGACGGGGTATGGAGATCTTATATGTTTTGGCGCCCATACCGGACGGGGTATGGGGACGGCCCGTTTCACCCTCATACCGGACGGGGTAATGAGGTCTATAGTTTTGGCGCCCATACCGGACGGGGTATGGGGACGGCCCCAGAAAAATGATTTCAAGCGTTAAGGGTTAACGGGTAGCGGGACCCCTATGGATCCCCATAGATACTAGTGGGCTGGTAAATGAGGAAAATATATTGTGTAACGATTGAATTACGAAAGGCTTGATAAGTATTACGTTATACAGTTTATATATGATTTCATGATGATGATGATGTTTTGTTTTCGTATATTGTCTTATGAATTTCACCGAGGTAAGTGAATGGTAAAGGTTTTATTATTAATAAAAGATTTTGTTGTAAATTATGCTCCATTGGTCTTTTGTGTTTTCTACCCACCTTTACCTCCGTGACGGTGAGATATCGTGATGTCTTTACTGGGCTAGTGTAGCTCATTCCTTATTTAATCATTTCAGATCCGGAAGACATTGTTCCCGAGCCGGTTCCGTAGGAGGACGACGAAGGGGACGCCTAAAGACTCCATAGTCATATTTGTAGTTTTTACTTTCAAGTTTCTCCTTTAGCTAGTTTGATCTTTTATATTGTGAGCACGTTTTTGGTTTTGGTGTAAGGGATGTTATTCAAATTTTGACTTCGCTTCCGCATTTGATATTTTTTATATACATTCCATTTTGAATTTTCGGGGCTGCTACATATGCTCCATTGGTCTTTTTGTGTTTTCTACCCACCTTTACCTCCGTGACGGTGAGATATCGTGATGTCTTTACTGGGCTAGTGTAGCTCATTCCTTATTTAATCATTTCAGATCAAGAGGACATCGTTCCCGAGCCGGTTCCGCAGGAGGACGACGAAGGGGACGCCTAAAGACTCCATAGTCACCTTCGTAGCTTTTACTTTCAAGTTTCTCCTTCAGTTAGTTTGATCTTTTATATTTTGTGAGCACGTTTTTGGTTTTAGTGTAAGGGATGTTATTCAAATTTTGAGTTTGCTTCCGCATTTGATATTTTTAATATACATTTCATTATGAATTTCCGGAGCTGTTACACATCTGGTTTAGACAGTGTAAAAATAAATATATATTGTATTGTAATAATTATTGTTAAATAATAGAATTTTACATTTCAGAATTGATTTTAGTACATTTAAATCCTCTATATATATATATGTATATATAATATGATAATTTAGCCGTGTGGTTTGCCTACTTTATTATTTGACATAAATGGTAAAATCATTACAGTCAAATATAAAGTTAGTATTAACATTATTCTTCAGCGATAATAAAATAAGAGTTATAATATATATACAATTACATTTATTTTATAGTTTATAAATAAAATGGAATTACAGAAAATGAAATTATAATTTTTATGATTAATACTTAAATCAATATATATATATATATACATATACATATATTATAAGTACGACGTGTTTTCTGGGTACCAACTGCTTTTTTTTTTTGGTTGCCCTACCACTAAGGCTCATACAATTTTCTTTTTTTTAAAAAAAAAAATTGTAATTAATAACTGTCCCAGTAGCTTGCATTCACATACAAAATTCCAGCTTGAAGTTCAAAATATTCCATTAATTAATATAAATAATTATATGTCCAAAATTATTATAATTAAGAGTAAGATTTAGGATTAATGAAAATTATAATAATAAGATTCAGAGAGGGCAATGATTAAAGAGTGGCCCAAGATATGTGGTGTCTTATTGGTGACAGGTAAGGTCCAACTAACAAGTATCATATATTTAAAATATAATATAAATTATTGAACTTAAAAGCTGCAAGAAAAATATTAATTCAAAAATATACGATACATGATGTCACTTATGTATTAGTTTATTATTTATGTATCAACAATTTATACACGTATGCAAATATTCTATAAAAATATGGAGGATCCAGCTGGAATTTAGAGAAGTTCGCATAGTTGCATTTAGAATATATTTTAATGGATTTATAATTATATACTAATCCATTAAAATATAAAAGATTATGAATATAATCTTGCACGTACTGAAAAGTCAGCTTCATTATATTTTCAAATTATCCAAGCTGGAACTATTTTGTTTTTGTTTACTAATAATAAAACATTTTATTTATTAAAATTATTATATTTTATTTAAATATTTCGAATTTACATCACATTTAAAATATATAATTTATTTAGTTTTTACATAATAACAACAAATTTATAATATTTAATTTATTAAAATTAAAATTTTAATTTATTAAAGTGTTGATAAAAAATTATAATAATTAAGTTGAATTACATCTCAACAAATTAAATAAATATTTTATAGTAATTAAATTTATTTAATTGAATTTTATTTAGAATTGGATTAAAATTCACTAAAACCATGCTAGAAAATCTCATTTTTTTTTAAAAAAAAAAAGAAAAATGGATGTAAGGAAAATTGGATTAAACTTGATAGTTAGGGAATCCCATGAACTGAAAAAGTCATGAATAAGACAGACACACCAAGTTGCTTGCACAAACTTTATTTTTATTTTATTTTTCCTGTTAGAATGAATTGGGTGGTTGGGAGGTTTTGTGTAAAATTGAAAATGATGTGTTTGGGGATGGAAAATGAAGCAGCGTCCACGTGCCGTCATTTTAACTTGCAAAATTGAACCATTTATTTCCAAGATGATTTTTTCTTTTTTTTTTTTTTAAAAAAAATAAAAGTACAATTCAATCCATGTGGTTTGAATTATTTTTTAATTAAATTTTATGGGTAATTTGTTTTTGGACGAAATTTAGATTTTTTTTTTCATTAAACAATATAATAATTTAATTGTGTTTTAAAGATTTAGATTGCTTCATTTTTTTTGCTACTAAATGGGTTTAATAGAACTAGTTGATCTACATCTAGACTAAAATTTTAGTGACTTCATTACAAACGAATCAACCATTAAAATTGCTATAAATCAAAGGGTTACTTGTAAATAAATAATTTATTCAGAATAGAATACTTGTGTTTGAAACTTAAATTAATTAATGGGTGATTTTATTTGAAAATTGAGGGGAGGACCACGTGTGGGAAGGTCGATAAATTGTTTTTCAAGAAAGATAATAAGTGATTGATTTTAGATGGTAAAGAAGACAAGAGTCGTACATGTATTTTGCTTGAGAATTCAAAGATTAGATAAGAAATTGGAAAGATTGTGCAATACCCAATTGGAATTTTCAGATGAAAATCTGCTCTAAAAATAAGTTGTACCTATTAATTTATGTTTGTTTTTCTCTATTTTAAGAGTAAAAAAATACAGCTCATGAACTGCTTGATGCTCGTGAAATGCGTAATTACCATTTACTCTGGAGGAATCATTCATTCTAAAACGCTGAAAAACTAAATATAAATACAATATATATACACACACACACACACCATGTTTTTCATGGCATATCCTTTGGATAGTACTGACATAACGCAGATATAAGTATTATATATACACACCGTGTTTTTTTAGGACATATCCTTTGGATAATACTGAAGATTTTGAACTCGTTGGTACCGAAAGAGAAAACCAGAGAGCCGGCCGGTGACTTAATAAAACCGAGTAATTTGCCTATTTTTGGAATCATTTCGTTTTATTTTTATTTTATTTTTTTCTTTAGAAAGAGTGAAGTTAATAAGTTTAGTAAGTCCGTAGATTATTAAAAAAATAAATGAAAAATCCTTATAAATAATATTTAACTTGCAAGCTCTTTATAAATTGTAGCACCCAAATATTTTATGAAGAGTGACGATTTCCCTAGTTACAAATAGAAACACATTCATGTTCTGTCCTTTCCTTATAAACATGAGATCTTGCAAAACACAAATACACAATAAATTCTACAAAACTAAGACCAGCCAGTACCCAGTAAAAGTAATCAAGATGTCCTCTGTTCAGATTATTAGAAAACCAACTATCCTTACCTTCCCCACCACTTGCTTTATCAATTGCAGAGATCAGAAAGCTGCTTAGAAAGCTCCCTACCCCAAAGATGCTAAGGTACAGGGACATTCCTACACTCCTCAGTTCACTGGGCACTTGATCATAGAAGAATTCCTGCAGACCAACAACTGTGAACACATCACAAATTCCTAAGATAACATATTGGGGTACCAACCACCATATACTCATTGGGATTGTCGCGTTCGCGTTCGCGTTGTCAATGAGCCCGTGTTCTCGAGCAGTATGGAGCCTCTTTGTCTCGACCAGAGCTGCAGTCACCATGCATATGACAGATAGACACATCCCAGTTCCAATTCTCTGCAGCATTGTAATGCCAGCAGGATTTTGAGTGAACTTTCTTGTTACAGGAACGAGTATCTGGTCGTATATAGGAATGAAGATAACGATAGTGATGCCCATGACAGATTGAAGTGAAGCAGGTGGAATTTTGAAGCCTCCAGTGATTGATCTGTCAAGAGTAACTCCTTGCTTCGTAAACAAAGTTGATATTTGTGCAAATACAATTGCATAGACCAAGTTTGTAGCCCATATTGGTATAAGCCCAAGTACAGACTTTGCTTCTTCAACTTCGTCAATGCTGCATACCTCTCCGTATTCCCTTGAACCATCTGGACTGACCAACGCTTTGTTGAGGCACCTGCCAAATTGGACAATCCAAAATGCTGTCAAGTGGGAGTTCCTGATAATCCTTAAAAAAAAAAATTCAATATCATGATTACATTAATAAAGAAATTCAACCAAACGAGAGGAAGGCAGTTCATCATTTACAAGAGACAGTTGGTTACTCAGTAAGTTTGATGTAATAACTATACCTTAACAATTGCAGATATGAAGCCAAAACTCTGAATAACTTAGATAGCATAGTATTCTTCCAAGAAATATCTGAGGGTTACTCGTTTGTTTTTTGTTTACTTCCAGCACATATGGAACTTTAAATTGATCACCAACTTCCACATAATCAAGCAACAAAATTTAAAACCACAGCAGAAAGGCTGAAAGAAGAGGGGGTTGTGAAGCTGACTTATATATCGCAAAAACAAGAAAAATTTTCATTTTGCAATATCATAGAATCAACATTTTAGAAGAACGGAAGAAGTATGAAACAAAATGATGCTGAAAATAGATGGGATTTCCAGAAGCTCCACTATCTAGACAACAAAATTTTTTAAGCTGCTAACCCAGATAACATTTCATGCCTATTAAAATTTTCATTCATAAGATGCCAAACTTATCTTACTTGAATTGCTGGGAACTTTGGTGAGGCAGGGTTCCACAATTTTCTGCTTGAACAGCTATTGACAAAGATGTGGTGCGCCAGTTCTTAAAAGCTATAACAAACACACGGCCAACCCTTACGAATGCGCTTTGCTCATTCCTTTCCATACTGAATCGATAAGTCCTAGTTCCAAGAATGAAAATAACCAATGCAATAACCATTGCAATGCAGGGGATCCCAAATCCAAGAGCCCAATTAAGGTTGTCCTGTATGTAGGTTGAGACAAAAAGTGTAAATATAGTGCCAGCACATAGAGAAAAATACCACCAATTAAAGAATGAACTTTTTGCTTTGCACTCTTCTGGGTCTTGTACATCAAATTGGTCTGCTCCAAAAGCCTGAACACAAGGCTTGTGACCGCCTTGCCCAACAGCTACTATATACAGTGAGAAGAAGAATAAGATAACCTGGAGCTGAGAAGAACATGAATTGACTCCATTGGGATTTTTACAATCAGAAAAGCCGAGAGAAGGAAGCATCGCTGATAGGGTCAAGAATGCTAGTCCCTGTTCTTCAATCGAAACATATTTCAGGATTCAAAAATAGGATATCCTGAGTCCCAACCTAGCCACTGTAAATCTCTTTTAATCATCTCAGCAGATAAAACAAACAGTTATGATCTTACACAGGTTTCTTCAACTTGAAGCATGAGTTCAGTTTCCATATAATACAAGACATGACAGCACAATCAAACTGGAGATATGCAGCTATAGCCAAATATATAGTTATCAGTGGATTAAACAAGCAGATATCAGGATTCAAAGACAAGTCCCAACCTAGACACTGTAAATCTCTTTTAATCTCTCAGCAAATTAAACAAACAGTCATGATCCTACACAGGTTTCTTCAACTCGAGGCATGAGTTCAGTTTCCATATAATACAAGACGATGACAGCACAATCAAACTGCAGATATGCAGCTATAGTCAAATATATTAGTTATCCAACTTCAATTACTCGGCACAAATCAACACCAGACATTCCTCAATTGAAATGAGTTCAAGCTGAAATATATACAAGATTTAGTTTCAAGCTTGGTCTCACATGCAGTGTAATTTGCTTCTTAAAACATTAGGGTTTACTTGTTACTAATACAGTCTAGCCTAAGCAAACTTCGTTTAGCAGCAGAGAGAAAGCAAGAAAGGGAGAGGAACTAACCGATATGTAGATGACAGAAGCAACCAAAATGGTCCGATAGCGGCCAAGAAAAGAATCGGCAATTAAGGCCCCCAGAAGCGGTAGCAAAGACGCCGTACCAGACCAGAGATTGACGTTGGCCGCTGCATCCGCCGTCGACTGACCGAGCGGCCCCGTCAAATAGGATATCAGATTCAACCCTATTCCAAAAAAAGCGAACCTCTCCGCAATCTCAACACCTGCATAACACCAAAACATATGTTTTCAATCAATGACCAAAAGAATAAGCAAAAAAACAAGCAACATTTCTGTTTGACTTCTGACTGACCGAAAATGAAAAAAGCGGACCTCCAGCCACCAGAGGATGATCTATGAACGCGACGGTCCTTATAGTCAACGGAACCGTCAACTGTGTCGTGCAACAGAGGAATGTGAGACTCAAGGCCACCGGATACGGAGTCGGAAAGCGTCATATTCAATGCTGTTTGTTTTGATTCCTTTTCTAAGAAGTGGTTAATAGTTGTTCATCCCGAGACCTGAAGAAGAAGAAGGAGAAGGAGAAGGAGGAGGAGCGGAAGTTGCTATCGCGGATGAGCGAAGCTATGACTGTGTAGCAGTTTCTTTTGCAAAGAAATATATAAGTTAATTCAGTTATTATAGACAGCATTCCCCACGTTGCAAATAATATATTTATGATGAATAATTTATTTATTCGTGTGCCAATAAAATAGAGTGACTAAATTAAGTTTGATGCTGACGAATTATTACGTATTTAAGCAAAAAAAATATATATCTCATAATCATTAGCTGAAATATGTAAAAAATTTTATGGTTTAGTAGAGGCTTAACTCCTTCCACTCCCTACCATCACTAAATATTAATTAATGGATAATTATTTTTGTAATCTTATTTTAACTGATAAGATTAAGAATTAGAAAATTGAGGGGAGGCCACGTGTGGGTAGGTCAGTAAATTGCTTTTCAAGAAAGAATAAGAAAAAATAATAGATGATTTGTATATCAACGGTTAGATATAATACTTATTTTTGATAAAGAAGACAAAGACGTACGAATTCAAAGATTAGATAGCAAATTAGAATATTGAAATAATTTAACTAATTTTTCTTTTTCTTTTTTGCATACAATTAAATTATTAAAGTATAAAGACTCAAAACTTTAGATAAAATAAATTTAAATTAAAGATATAGAAACGTATAATAACGTTAGAGTTTATATTAGTTACACATAAATTAGAATCTTCAATAAGATTACGAAAATATTTATTTTATAACGGTTCATAAAAAAAATATAAAAATAGTAAATAAATATTTTAGGGAAGTTAACTTCCACTAATTCTTAATAGGATCCGGGGGACACCTACTCACAGCTCTCCTCCTGATTAGGAACTGAATCTTGATTTTCTTAATCTGAAATGGTTAATAGAGGTGGGCTACACTATCTTAATAAGAATATCACGCTACTCACTGATTTGAAAACTGAAAGTTGGTAATATATATATATATATATATAACGACTAATGGAGCTCTTAATTTAAGTAAGTTCATTTATTATAAAGAAAACTATTTATTGCATACTTATCATTATGAAATTTTTAAAATCGACCTATAAAGACAATAATTTAAATGATATTATGATTTTTCATACAAGTGAGTAAGAACGATAATTTTTCTTTTTATTTGCTTACTAGTACCTCTAGGGGTCTTTAAGGATGTCCCCATATGCGTGAACCAAATATCTAAACTTGTCAATTAACTGGTCATCCCCATATCCCGTCCGTTATGAGTACTAAAAATATCATCCCTCGATACTCCGTCTGGTATGAAGGTGAACCGGGCTATCTCCATACCCTATCCGGTATGAGTGCCAAAAATATTATCAATCGATACTCCGTCTGGTATGAGATAACGTTTACAGTAGGATTTTCTATGTGTCCGGTCCGTCCATTATCTCTTAAGATATCCAGTAAGTTAACTATTTATTAATTCACATAATCAAACAATTTTTCTTTTGTATATTGATTTTACATTTCACAAATCAACCGTAAATCATGCAAAACAAGCAATATATGTATTAAGAAAACACAACTAAATCATTTAACTATTTCAATATATTATCATGTATTTAAATCTGTACAACTAAATAATCAGTTAAATATGACAAATAAATAACTAACTGAATCCAGCTTCATTAATGACTTGTAATTATTCTCAAAGTTTTCTAAATTTCACAAAATACTATATTATTGATTATTAATCTTCAATTCCATAATAGGAAATAGGGTGAGAGATTGTTATCCCAATCGGTATTCAAAATATTGTACTTTCTATCGCGTTTTCTAGCGGTCCCTAGATTTCTTAAATTTTTTTGCGGAGATTAAACACGCTTCACATACCTAAAAAATACTTAAAAAAATTCAAAATCAGTGTTAAAAATCTTTTTTGACTAATTTCGAAATTCGGGTATGGCAGCGTTGCTATACTCTGGCGACGGCACCATCACCCGCGGCGATAGTTTACCTTGGTCTGGCCGTTTTCGGCCAATTTAGGCCGGTCGGCTGACTTTACATGTATCCTTGCAAAAAAACACGTTAGGAAGACTCGGTTGATCGAAAAAAATCAGAAAACTGAAACCTACTGGTGGTAGGGTTTTTGGGTGCGGCGGCTCCGCTGGCTCTCCTTCGCGGCTGAAATTCCTCCTTTGTTCAACCAATAGAAAACAAAACGATGAAAAAATTGTACGAAATGAGAACCGGGAAGGGGCACATCGGAGGAGGTTGTGGGTTTTGGGCCATGGCGGCCCTGCCATGCTTTGTTCACAGTTTTAGGTTCACTCGCTATTCGTTTTGCTTCGATATGGCCACATAGGTGTTCGAAATCGAATTCCGAGTAGGTAGGAGAATTTTTATCTTTTTTAGCGGTCGGAGATGGTTTCGGTGCGACGGCGGTCGGGAGTTGGCTTTTTTCTCCAGCGTCTGGTCCTTCTTCTCTGGTAGGGGGGTTGGCGGCTAGAGTTCGAGTTTCATGTAATGCGAAATATTTATACATATCCCGCATTAATCAGGGCCGTCCATTACGATCGATCTCGTCCGTACGATCGCGCATAAGAAGGAAACAAATCTGAACCGTTCATCGCGTTTGATCTCGACTGTTCGATTGTGACTAAGTTGAAAATGGATCCGGACCATTCACGTGCGCATGATCAATCTTGGGTCATCGGATCGCGGGGCATGCGGATCGCCAGTGTGGCCTCCCACGTGGCACCAACGTAAGTGTGCCTTGCCACACGGCACGTTCTGGTTCGTCGAGATTGCTGACTGGGCAGTCCTACGTAATCGAACTTTTTCTATTTGCGCTTTGACTCCCCTATTTTTAATTTTTCTTTTTAAAGCACTCATAGAACCCAAATTTTTACCATTCTTTTTCAAAATTATTTTCAGTCTTGTCCATAATTTATTTATTTTTTAAAATATAATAAAAATTAAATTAAATTAATTTATAAAATATTTATTTTATGCATTTTTAAATTACTAAAATTTATCCCAAACAAATTTTCAGGTCCAGATCATAAAGAATTATAAATAAATTACATAAAAATCATTCATTTTTTTTTTTTACGATTATTTACGTATTTATTAATTTTTCTAAAGTACAATTCAAGCTCTCTATGATAATCCTGCATATGACCAGATAATATAATGTAAGTGTTACAAGATAAATTTATATAACGGAAATTTTATTAAAATAAAAAGATAAAAATTCATTTCATTCTGATGAAAAATCCTAAACAAAAATGACTTTTTTTTTAATTACCAAATAGAATAGTAAAGGTTAGTATTTTTAATTATAAATAATATATATATATATATATTTTTTAATTTTAGCAAAACAGATATTTTTAGGTCTGTTTTTATGCAAACAAACATCTTTTGTTTTTGTTTTTTGTTTTTTTTTTAATTTTTAGAGCCATATTTTACTCAATCAACATGGTATATTGAAATTTTATTTTAAAAATACTACGAATAGGTATTTTCTTAAATGATTCTGAAACACACTATTCTATGCTGTTGTGTATTTATTAATTTATTCTTCAAATACTATTTATCAAGTCAAATAGGCAAATAAAACAATATACTACTCTTTTACCGTAAAATAAACTATTCTGAGTTCAGTATTAATAGGAATTAGCCACAAACATAATAAATTTTTAACAATATATATATATATATATGTATGTATTTAGATTGAGTAGGGATAAACCTTAACCTTCAATTATAAAGTTTAAGTTGCATGCTATCTATGATTTGAACCAAACCTATATGGCAAATTATAATACCCAAATATTTTATAAAGGGTGGTGAATTATACACATAAATGTTCTGTTGTTTCCTTATAAACATAAGATCTTGCAAAACACAAATAGACAATAAATTCTACAAAACTAAGACCAGCTAGTACCCAGTAAAAGTAATCAAGATGTCCTCTGTTCAGATTATTAGAAAACCAACTATCCTTACCTTCCCTACCACTTGCTTTATCAATTGCAGAGATCAGAAAGCTGCTTAGAAAGCTCCCTACCCCAAAGATGCTAAGGTACAGGGACATTCCTACACTCCTCAGTTCACTGGGGACTTGATCATAGAAGAATTCCTGCAGACCAACAACTGTGAACACATCACAAATTCCTAAGATAACATATTGGGGTACCAACCACCATATACTCATTGGGATTGTCGCGTTCGCGTTGTCAATGAGCCCGTGTTCTCGAGCAGTGTCGAGCCTCTTTGTCTCGACCAGAGCTGCAATCACCATGCATATGACAGATAGACACATCCCAGTTCCAATTCTCTGCAGCATTGTAATGCCAGCAGGATTTTGAGTGAACTTTCTCGCTACAGGAACCAGTATCTGGTCATATGCAGGAATGAAGATCGCGATAGCAAAGCCAATGAAGGATTGAAGTGAAGCAGGTGGAATTTGGAAGCCTGCAGTGATTGATCTGTCAAGGGTAACTCCTTGCTTTGTAAAGAAAGTTGATGTTTGTGCAAATACAATTGCATAGACCAAGTTTGTAATCCATATTGGTATAAGCCTAAGTACAGACTTAGCTTCTTCAACTTCTTCGATGCTGCATACCTCCCAGTATTCCCTTGAACCATCTGGACTGTGCAAGGCTTTGTTGAGGCACCTGCCAAATTTGACAATCCAAAATGCTGTCAAGAGGGAGTTCCTGATAATCCTTAAAAGAAAATTCACTATTTCAATTACATTAATAAAGAAATTCAACTAAGCAAGAGGAGGGCAGCTCACCATTTACAAGAGACAATTAATAAATACTCAAGTGAGTTTGATGCAATAAATATATCTTAACAATTGCAGAAACGAAGCCAAAACTCTGAACTAACTTATATATCATAGTGTTCTCCCAAGAAAAATCTGAGGATTAATTGTTTGTTTTTTGTTTCAGCCCAGATAGAAATTTAAATTGACCAATAAAATTTAAAACCTTAGCAGAAAGACTGAAAGAAGAGGGGGGGTTGTGAAGCTGACTAAAATTTTTGCAAAAACAAGAAAAGATTTTCATTTTGCAATATCATAGAATCGACATTTTAGAAAAGTGGAAGGAGTATGAAAACAAAATGAAGAAAAAGTGTATCGAGATTAAAAATTTATCATTAAAAATAACGCTAAAAACAGATAGGATTTACAGAAGCTCCAGTATCTAGACAACAATTTTTTTTAAGCTGCCAACCAGTATAACATATCATGCCTATTAGCATTTTCAATTCATGAGATCCGAAACTTATCTTACTTGAATTGCTGGGAACTTTTCTGAGGCAGGGTTTCATAAATTTCTTCTTGAACAGCTATTGACAAAGATGTGGTGCACCAGTTCTTAAAAGCTATAACAAACACACGACCAACCCTTACAAATGCGCTTTGCTCATTCCTTTCCATACTGAATCGATAATTCCTAGTTCCAAGCACGAAAATAACCAATGCAATAACCATTGATATGCAGGGGATTCCAAATCCAAGAGCCCAATTAAGGTTGTCCTGTATGTAGGTTGAGACCAAAAGTGTGAGTGTAGTGCCAGCACATAAAGCAAAATACCACCAATTAAAGAATGAGCTTTTTGCTTTGCACTCTTCTGGGTCTTGTACATCAAATTGGTCTGCTCCAAAAGCCTGAACACATGGCTTGTGACCACTTTGTCCAACAGCTACTATATACAGCGAGAAGAAGAATAAGATAACTTGGAGGCGAGAAGAACATGTCGTGACTCCATCAGTATTTTTACAATCAGGAGAGCCGAGAGTAGGAAGCATGGCTGATAGTGTCAAGATTGCTAGTCCCTGTGCTTCAATCAAAACATATATCAGGATTCAAATGTAGAATATCCCGAGTCCCAACCTAGACACAGTAAATCTCTTTTAATCATCTAAGTAGATTAAACAAACAGCCATGATCCTACACAGGTTTCTTCAACTTGAAGCATGAGTTCAGTTTCCATATAATGCAAGACAATGACAGCACAATCAAACTGGAGATATGCAGGTTTAATCAAATATGTAGTTATCCAACTTCAATTACTTGGCACAAATCAACACCAAATATTACTCAAATGAAATGATTTCAAGTTGAAATATATACAAGTTTCACATGCAGTATAATTTGATTCTTAAAACATTAGGCTTTACTTGTTACTGATACAGTCTAGCCTAAGTAAACTTAGTTTAGCAGCAGAGAGAGAGAGAGAAAAGGAGAGGAACTAACGGATATGTAGATGATAGAAGCCATTAAAATGGTACGATAGCGGCCAAGAAAAGAATCGGCAAGTAAGGCCCCCAGAAGCGGTAGTAAAGACGCTGTACCCGACCATAGATTGACGTTGGCCGCTGCATCCGCCGTTGATTGACCGAGCGGCCCTGTCAAATAGGATATCAGATTCAACCCTATCCCATAGAAAGCGAATCTCTCCGCAATCTCCACACCTGGATAACACCAAAACATATATTTTCAATCTATTGACCGAAAGACTAGCAAAAAAAACTGAAGAGCTTTTGATTTCTGACTGACCGAAAATGAAAAAAGCGGATCTCCAGCCGCCAGAGGATGATCTAAGAACAGGACGGCCCTTATAGTCAACGGAACCATCAACCGTGTCTTGTAACAGAGGACTTTGGGACTCAAGGCCACCGGATACGGAGTCGGAAAGCGGCATATTTATCGTGTGTTCAATGTTGTTTGTTCTGATTACTCTTCTAAGAATTGGTTAATAGTTGCTCATCCCGAGACCTGAAAAAAGGAGGAGGAGGAGGAGGAGGAGGAGGAGGACGAGTGAAAGTTGCTATCCCTGTCGCGCCGACGAGGGAAGTTATGACTGTGTAACAGTTTCTTGTCAAAGAAATATTAGTTAATTCAGTTATTATTGATATCTTCCCCGACAAAGAAGTAATGGAGTTCCTCGGTCAACGATTTGATTTACGCATTGTATCACGAGTAGTGGCTAAAGATTATTATTTTTTGCTTCAAGTTCACGATCACTACTTTTTTTCTTCAATTTTAAAACTTTATAAGTTATAACCATATAATACGTAATATGTTGTTAAAATTACAATAATTAAATTTAATTTAATTTTAATAAATAATTATGTATTCAGATTAAAAAAATATATATATTATGTAATAATTAAATTTGTTTATTTATGATAATCATAACTGAATTAAAATTTAATATCGCATTTAGCCATTAAAAAAAAAACTTTTTACATAGTAGAATTAATTGTAAATTCACAAATGAAGTCCAACTGACAAGTTAAATTATCATAATTTTAAAATTCTCATGCAGGTAAGTACCAATTGACCAACTAAATTATTAATAATTATAAACACATTTATGATATTTTGTCACTAAATACATATGCAAAGATTTACTTTGAAAAATTAAACGATACACATGATCTCCATTAAAGGAATTTGGCATTATTTACAGATGCCTGCCCATGACAACTATCTATTTATTGGTAACAACATAACAATCATCAGCAGCTCCAAGTCCTTTGTGGCTCCGCGGCTGAAGTCTCTCCCCCTTAGTACCTTTATAAAGCTGGATATCTGGCAGTTCTACTCCCTTATTTGTCCTCTAGAGCATACTGGGGGAAAAATGGACAAGCATCAATGGATAATAATATTGTAAATCCAAATTAATTTTACATCCAATTTAAGTCTAAAGTAATTCTATGTATCAAATGATTAGTACCTAAAACTATAACAGAAGTGGAATGGATTTAAGACAAACATAATACTACACTACAAACCAGCAGCAGAGCAATGGGACAACCGCGCACTCATGTCCTGTTTCCCTTATTATAAATGTATGATTTTGCAAAGTACATGTAGACAGCCAATGCAGCAAAACTAAGACCAGCCAGTAGCAAATAAAAGTAATCGAGATGTCCCCTATTCAGATTATTAGCAAACCAACTATCCCGACCATCCCCACCAGTTGCTTTCTCGATGGCAGAGATAAGAAAGCTGCTCAGAAAGCTCCCAACACCAAATATACTGAGATAGAGGGAAAGACCCACGCTCCTCAAGTCATTTGGGACCTGATCATAGAAGAATTCCTGAAGACCAACCATGGTGAACACATTAGAAACACCAGCCAAAGCATATTGAGGTACCAACCACCAAACACTCATTGGAATTGTCACATTAGGCATGTCAACCAGGCCACATTCTTGAGCAGTTCTCAACCTCTTGATCTCAACCAAAGCAGCAATCAACATAGATATGGCTGATATAAACAGTCCAGCTCCAATTCTCTGGAGAATTGTAATGCCAGCAGGTTTGCGAGTGAACGATCTTGCTATTGGAACGATTATGCGGTCATATATTGGGAGGAAGGAAATAATGGCAAGGCTAACGAAGGATTGGAGGGTAGCAGCTGGTATGCTAAAGCCAGGAGTAATTGACCTGTCCATGGTGACTCCTTGCTTCGTAAAAAATGTTGGTGGTTGTGCAAACACAATGGCATATACCAAGCTTGTAGCCCATATTGGACCAAGCCTAAGTACTGCCTTCGCTTCTTCCACTTCATTGACACTGCACAGCTTTCCATATTCCTTTGAACCATCAGGGGCAAGCAAGGCTTTGTTAAGAAACCTGCCAAATGGGATATACTATATTGTTATTTACATAGCGTTTAGATGTCGTAAAGCAGATAAAAAGTTGCCAATGCTACTTAAAAGCTCAACATTTCAACCAGAAAAGAATACAAGAGTTTAGCTAACTAAGGCTGCTTTGCATTTATAAGAGACCACCAAATAGTAGCAAGAGACAAATAGTATAGAGAGTTTGACAAGCAGGAGATCCCTTAGAGATAATGCTACATTGCCATAAGCATGAGCTTGAAAAGAGTGGAGGACAGAAGCAAACTTAAAGATCACTTAACTTTTTCTTGGGTGAAAAGGACCAATATCTTTTTGTAATTTCTAAATTGAATGAAACTCAGAAAAGAACAACCTCTTAATCCTTGGTAATTCTTTAAAACTCCTAATTGTTCAATCATTTGCATTGGAGTGGGAGGAATTGATAATTTATCAAACAGTAATCTTTTAAAAAGGGTCTCCAATAGTCTAGTGACAATATTGATACTAGTAACGATATTGATGATAGTGACAATATCGATCGTGAACTTGATACGGAGCTGAAACTTCTAATTATGATGAATGCGTTAACTATGGATATGATGTCGAAAATAGACCAATTTTACATCACCCTTCAATTCGAATTAACAAAAGCAATGTCTCCTTGCATAACATGGATTCCAAACATTTATGATCTGGATGTGAATGAGTCGAATTACTTATCCCTCGGTCTATTGGTGAACTCTCTCTCCAGGGATTGTGAAATAAAATCTGAATAGTTGTTTGATACTTTGTTGTAATTTACAGTATATTTATTTCAAAATAGTAACAATAATTTACAGTGTCTCTCCTTTAATTGGTGAGAAATATGTTCATCCTATTAGGAAACTCCTATTTTAATTTCTTCAACTAGAGAAGGTTGAGGTTAGATCATTTCCTTTTCCCACTATAATTACCATTCAGAGAATGTTTTCTTACAACCTCTAACTTACTCTACCTCACTCTATTTTATTTCAAAACCTCCTAATTTACTCATCAAATTCCAAAGCATAGTCTAAAAGACCTAAAAACAAGAGAGAAGAGCTGATTTATGACATCATGAACTTAACAAAATGAACTTTAATATACAAACAAATTTTCATGGAAAAGATGACTTAACATTCAACAAACTTTGGCAGCTTTAAATTATTTTAGAGGACAGGTTGCAAACTGTTTGATGCTTATGTTAGGCTCCAGACGTGTAAAGTACTTGAAGAAGTTAGTCTGATACTTGCATATTAAATAACATAAGATTCATGAAGATCCAAAATCCTCTAACCTGAATTGGCAGGAACTTTTGTCAGGTAGTGTTCCATGAGCTTCTTCTTCAATAGCTATTGCTGAAGATGAAGTTCGCCAGTTCTTAATAGCTAAGATGAACACACGACCAATTCTTAGAAATGGGTTTCGCTCATCCCCTTTGATGACGAATCGGTAAGTCTTAGTTCCAAGCAAGAAAATAACCAATCCAATGGTCATTGTGATGCAGGGAATTCCAAATCCAAGAGCCCAACTAAGGTTGTCCTGGATGTAGTTTAACATCCAGAGAGCCACTAAGGTTCCAGCACATAAAGAAAAATACCACCAATTAAAGAATGAACTCTTGGCTTTGCACTCTTCTGGGTTTTGTCCATCAAATTGATCTGCTCCAAATGCTTGAACACATGGTTTGTGCCCGCTTTGTCCAATTCCTACTAGATATAATGAGAAGAAGAATAAGATCACTTGGAACTGATGAGAACATGACACAATTTTGTTGGTGTTTTCACAGCCAGAACTGCTGATAGAAGGAAGAATCGCCGACAGGGTCAATAATCCTAGTCCCTGCACTTCATTCAAGTCAATTTAAATATGAAAAACTCTTGGCGATCCCAAATTCTAATAAAAAATAAATCAATCACGAACTAACACATGTTTATTCAACTAAAGACACAAGTTAATTTGGTTCTGAAGTAACGCAAGAATCAAACTGGAGAAGAAAAGGAGTTGTTCTATAGACTGCTTAATGAAAAGGAAATTGTTAACGATCACCATTTGCCTATTGACTCGGCTACTTCAATCTTGAAAGTGTTTGCTGGTAACCAGTGTCAATCCTAAGTTATTTTTATATCATTTTAATTAACTTTTAAGGAATTCAACTATTCTATCAATCTAATAGAGCCACTTTCAGGCTTGCTCAAGTTTTTATTTGAGCTAAACTCAGCAAGCTCCATAAGAGGATGTGATAACATTCAGTTAAAGATTTTTATTCTTTATCTGCATCCCATTTCAAGTTGTTAAAGAGGAAAAAAATCACAATATTAAAAAGGAAGTAAATCAAAGTGTTAAATAATAAATAAATAAGAGTGTTCTAGAGGAAATAAATCAGAGAGTTAAGAAGGTAGGGTATTAAAGAGAAAATAAATCAAGATGTTTAAAAGGAAACAAACTAGGTAAAAGGAAAAAATTATCTTTAGTAATTAATTGTAACTAATTATTTATTTTTTTATCCTAAAAGACCTGTATATGTAGGATCATAATATTAAATAGAATAAATATTGATAAAAAAAACCATTCCTAATACAAGTGTTCATTAAAAAATTTCTATCATATTTTCTGAAAAAGGGATTCTAAACTCTTCAAAATCCAAAAGCTATGCAACCTAAGGTCTCTCTCTTTCTTCTCTATTCATCCTCCCACATTACATGAACTATAAATCCTCCATGACATTACACCTATACTTACATGTAAACCATATGTAACCGACAAATGTGTTAACTACAACAAATATATGCATGTACAACACACCTATATATATGTGTGTGTCCTGAAAAAAGAAATAACAATTTCTTTTGAATTCTGATCTGTAAGAAAGGTGTAAAGTCAAAGAGGGAATAAAATCCATCATGAAAAGAAATTTACCAAGATATAGATAGCAGAAGCCACAACAATGGTGCGGTACCGCCCGAGGAAAGAATCTGCAACGAATGCTCCTAAAAGAGGCAGTAACGAGCACATGCCCGCCCACGCATTGACATTGGCCGCCGCAGCGGCCGTGGACTGGCCCAATGAGCCCGTCAGATAGTTTATCAGATTGGACTCTATCCCGTAGTACGCGAACCTCTCCGCGACTTCCACACCTGCAAAATTGCAGACTCTACGCCGATTAATCCCAATTAATCGCCAAAAGTAGACACAGCATGACGCTTTTGAACTCACCGATGATGAAAGAAGCAGATCTCCAGCCACCGGAGGAAAATCTGGAGACGGCGCGACCTTTGTAGTCAACGGAGCCATCGACCGTGTCGTCCAACAGAGGAAGTCTGGATTCTGAGACACCGCTGGCGGCCATTCTATCTGTTTTCAGTTTCCTTCCCACCAGTAATCACGGCTCTGGTTAGCTTGGTGGTTGGTGGAAGATATTAGTAAGTGTCCGAATCGTTGAGGATTTGTGTTCTACTGAATGAACGCGTGATTGGTTCATGAACTACTGTGCTGCTTTGGGTGAGGAATTAACTGGGGGCTAATTAAGAGATAATAATTAAAAAAAGATCGATAGTGACAATTATTAAGAGATTAGATAAATTAATGAATATAACATAAATTTATAAAATTAAATAAAAAATTAGAATGATTATATGTAATTTAATGATCTTAATATATATTTCTTAATGATCTTCCTTTTCTTTTGCCACAAAGGGAAATGAAAATCTGATAATATGTGTATCTTAATCTTGAAACAACCATATATGAGCGCACGAGTATACTTTCAGCCGTGGCTTTGTATTATTAACATGACCGAATTTTATTAAGACAGATCTAAAAAGGAAACAAAGTGATTATATTGTCAATTTCAATTTATAGTTGACAGCAAGATTTTCAATCCTTTGATCACATACGATGGTAGATGTTTTTTCTTATTTCACTTTTGTTGAGTATTCAATTTTTGCAGTCTGAAAATTATTCTTAATAATTAAAAATATGTTAAAATCTTAAAAAAATTTCAAGTATTGCTATAATTTTATATTTACTCTTATTTTAAATACTCTATCTATTTTTAAGAATTAATTTATAAATTAGAATATAATTAATTAGTTTATTAGTAGTTAAACTTAATAAATTAGAGTTTCTATATATTCTTTAGTTTAATAATAGTTGTGGATCATAAATTAGATTTATTATATTTGTTGGTGGTTACAATTAATTGTACTAGTTATAATAGTATCAATAAATAGTCATGTACTTCAAACTTTTTTGTAAGAATTACAATAGAAAAATTTGAGTCTTCTCGTTAGTCTCTCTAGCATCTTCCTCTTATCTCTAATAAAGTGATATCAGAGCTTGGTTTCTTGTTAAAATTTTAGAGATGACTAACAATAATTTTTTTTTTCTAATTTTTTCGTCTTACAAAAGAAAACTATGAGAGTTAGTGTTTTCGTATGAAAGTCATACTTGGCTCACAAGATATGTGGAAAATTGTAGAAAGAGGCTTTATTCTACCCGAAGATGAAGGATCCTTTACTCAAAATGAGAATGATGTTTTTACAAAAACAAAGAAGAAGGATCAACAAGCCCTTGCACTCATCTATTAAGGTTTGGATGAATATATGTTTCTAAAGGTGGCCGATGCTACCAACACAAAGTAAGTTTGCGAAATTTTAAAGAATTTCCTCCAAGGAGTTGACAAGGTGAAAAAGGTACGACTCCAAACTTTATGAGGCGATTTTGAAGCTTTGCAAATGAAGGATGTTGAATCCATTTCAAATTTTTGCTCAAGGATAAAGTCTATAGTAAGCCAAATGAGGAGATTTGGTGACATGATGGAAGATGTTCATATGGTGCAGAAAATTCTTCAATTGTTGCCACTAAAATTCGATTATGTGGTTTGTGTCATTGAAGAATCAAAGGATTTAGATACTTTGATATTTGAACAATTAGAGGGATCTCTACAAGCCTATGAAGAAAAAATAAAGAGAAGACAAGAAGAGCATTTGGAATAAGTTCTCAAATCAAAGGGATCTTTTAATGATGGTGGAAAGCAAAGAGGACAAGGAAGAGGTAGAGGACGTGGTTGTGGTCGTGGTCAAACATTTAAAAGAAGTGAAACTCAACATGATACTGATAATAAAGACAAAAGTCAACCATTAAATATAAACCATGGAAGAGGAAGAGGTAACTATAGAAATTCTAACAAATCAAATATTAAATGTTACAATTGTCACAAATATGGACATTATGCTTGAGAATGTCGTAACACTTTAAACGAGAAGGAGGAACAAGTCAACTTTGTTAATGATAAATAAGATGAGGAAAAAACAGCTTTATTACTAGCATGTAAAGAAGGAGATAATGATACCCATAATTCATGGTACTTAGATAATGGAGTAAACAATCATATGTACGACAATAAAAAAAAAATTTGTGGAGCTTGATGAAAAGATTAATAGCAATGTTTCTTTTGAAGACTCTTCAAAAGTTCAAATTCAAGAGAAATGTACAATTCTAATCTCTTTAAAAAATGATGGTCATGTACTTATTACTAATGTTTACTATGTGCCAAAGTTAAGAAGTAATATTTTGAATTTGGGCTAACTTCTTGAAAATGGATAGAAAATTCACATGAAAGATTATTATCTATGGCTTGGAGATCAAAGTGTTAATTTGAATGCTAAGGTGCATATGTCAAAGAATAAAATTTTATCTTGAATCTCAAAACTATTGAAACAAGATGTTTGAAGGTTAGTGTGGAAGATGAAGCATGGTGTTGGTATATGAGATTTGGCCATTTGAACTTTGGCGCACTCAAGGCGAAGGGAGAAGAAAAAATGGTGAAATGGGTGCCATTAATCAACCATCCTAATCAATTATATGAAGCATGTCTACTTGGAAGCATTCAAGAAGGAGTTTCCTAAAAGAAGCTACTACAAGAGCAACTAAACTACTTCAACTTGTGTATGCTGTTGTGTGTGGGCCAAGCAATCCACTCTCATCTGGTAAAAATAAATACTTTTTATTATTTATTGATGATTTTAGTAGGAAGACTTGGGTATATTTTTTAAAGCAAAAATCATATGCTTTTGTTGCTTTTAAAAATTTTAAAGTTCTTGTAGAAAAAGATTGTGATTGTGAAATAAAGTTTTTGAGAACAGATAGAGGAGGTGAATTTACTTCCAAAGAATTCCATGATTTCTGTGATCTAATGGAATTCGTCACCCTTTAACGGTTTTAAGATCACCACAACAAAATGAAGTTATGGAAAGAAAGAATAGAACTATTCTTAATCTGGCCAGAAGCATGTTGAAAGCAAAAAACATGCCCAAGGAATTTTGGGCCGAAGCAATTTCTTGTGCAGTGTATTTATCTAATAGGTTTCCAATATTAAGTTTGAAGGACATGACTCCTCAAGAAGCATGGAGTGGAATGAAACCTAATGTAAACCATTTATGAGTTTTTGAAAGTATTGCATATGCTCATGTTCTGCAATAAGAGAGATCCAAGCTTGATGATCGAAGTATCAAACATATTTTTATTGGGTATGATGCAAACTCAAAAGACTATAAATTGTATAATCCAAGCAATGGTAAGATCATGGTAAATAGAGATATTGAATTTAATGAAAAAACGACTTGGAATTGGGAGAAAAAAGAAGAAAATGCTTATAATTTCTTTCCATACTTTGAAGAGGAAGACCAAGGCAACTCCACCTCATTCTCTAACTCATGTTGCATCACTCACTTCTCAATAAAATTTAATTTAAAGGCCAAGAAAGTTGAAGAGAATTCAAGATCTTTATAATGAAACTGAGGAGATCACTAATTTTGATATAAATTATTTGTTTTGTCTTGTTCTTGACAATGAACCAATGAATTTGATGAAGCCATCAAAAATGCAAGATGGAGACAAGCCATGGAGGAAGAGATCAAATCCATAGAAAATAACAACGCATGGGAGTTATCTACTCTTCTTAAGGGACATAAAGTTATTGGTGTCAAATGTGTCTATAAAGCTAAAAAGAATTCTGAAAAAAATGTGAAAAGGTACAAGGCGAGACTTGTGGCTAAAGGATACAAGCAAAAATATGAGATTGATTATGATGAGGTTTTTGCTCCAGTTGCTCGCATGAAAATTATTCACTTACTCGTAGCTATTTCAACTCAAATATAGTGGAAAATTTTTCAAATTGATGTAAAATTAGCATTTCTCAATGTCTATCTTAATGAAGAGGTTTATGTAGAACAACAACTGGGTTTCGTAGTTGAAGGGCATGAAGATAAAGTGTTGAAATTGAAGAAAGCTTTGTATGGGCTAAAGCAAGCGCCAAAAGCATGAAATAGCCGTATAAACAAGTATTTTGAAGATAATAGATTTTTTTGTTTCCTTCATGAATATGTTATTTATGTGAAGTATCATTCTAACTATGATATTCTATTTGTGTGTCTATATATGGATGATCTCATCTTCACGAGAAACAATCCAAGTTTGTTTGAAGAATTCAAGAAAAACATGTTACTTGAATTTGAAATGATTGATATTGGGCTCATGTCTTATTATTTGGGCCTTGAGGTTAAACAAATAGAAAATGATATTTTTATTTCTCAAGAAGGCTATGTAAGAAAAGTCTTAAAGAAATTCCAAATGGTTAATTGCAATGCTGTGAACACGCCTATAGAATGTGGAGTCAAGTTATCAAAGTTTGACAATACGAAAAAAGTAAATCCCACTCTTTTAAAAAATCTTATGGGAAGTTTGAGATACTTGATATTTACAAGGCCTGATATTCTTTTGCAGTTGAACTAATAAGTCGTTTTATGAAAGCTCCTACCACCTCCGACATGAATGTTATTAAAAGAGTTCTATGGTACCTTAAATGTATTATTGATTTTGAGTTATTTTATTCATTTTCTAATGATTTCAACTTTTTGGGATTTTGTGATAGTGATTTTACTAGAGATATTGATGATAGAAAAAGTACAACTGGTTTTGTATCTTTATGGGTGATTGTGAAATTATATGGAGTTCTAAGAAGCAAGCATTTGTTATACTATCAACTTGTGAGTCTGAATATGTGGTAGCAATCTCTTGTGCTTGTCATGCTATATGGCTTAAGAGATTATTGGAAGAACTTCATTTAACACATGACGAAGCTACTAAAACTTTTATTGACAATAAGTCCGCACAAGCACTAACCAAGAACCCGATATTCAATGAACGAAGTAAACACATAGATGTAAGATATTATTTTATTAGAGATTGCATTGTTAAAAAGAAAGTAGAGCTCAAGCACGTAAAGATTGAAGATCAAGTGGTGGATATTTTCACCAAACCGCTCAAGTTTGACGTCTTTCAAAAGCTACACGTTAATCTTAGATTGAAAAGGAGATTTGCAAATCAAGGGAGAGTGTAATTCCCAAGCCCAAAATTTGGTTCGGGATCAATTTTGGTATTTTTAAAAATTAATTAATTATAAATTAATTTTATTTAATTTTATTAAATTATTGAAAAA